TCAACATCCCTCTCAGACACAGACACACTCAACATCCCCCACACACATACACAGACACACTCCCCCCGACACACACACACTCAACATCCCCCCCACACACACAGACACACTCCCCCCCACACACACAGACACACTGGCACCCTTTCCCTCCCCCCCCAAACACTCACTCACCCTCATACACACATGCAGACTCCCCATCCACACACAGACCCACTCGTACCCCTCCACACACACAAACACACCCCCTCCCCGCACACACCATGCACACACACACTCACCCCCATACACACACACAGACTCCCCATCCACACACAGACCCACTCATACCCCTGCACACACACAATGACCCCTCCTCCCCGCACTCACCACGCACACACACACTAACCCCCATACACACACACAGACTCCCCATCCACATACAGATACACTGACCCCCGACACCACTACAGACACACTCCCCCCAAACACACTCACACTCTCACACGCTCACACACACATACACGCACTCACACACACATTCACACACATGCTCACACACGCGCATACACACACACTACACACACTACACACGCACACACGCACACACACACTCTCTCTTACACAGACACACACTCTCTGACACACACACACTTTCATACACACTCGCTCACACAAACACACACGCACACACAGACCAATGTGCCATTTCTAAAAACCCCTAGCTGCTTCCCTGTCCTGACTGCAGCAAGGGCAGTATAACAATTTCATGCTAAAGCTCAATTGCATGGTCTCCTTGTTTCTGTTATTTAAATGTCATGAAGTGTTCTGTTTACTGAAGGGACTTTGTCTACTGCAGAATCTGTCAGACAAATTTCTGTCAGAGGTCTCCCAGCTGCCTGGATATTTATTTTATTTACATTGTCTCCTTTTACAGACGTAAAATTGGAAGGGAAGATGGCAACCTGCTACTATAACGAAACAATGAACTTTTTCTACAATCTCACAAGTAGCTCGAGAGAAGATAAATTGAAGGGCAGCTATTACCTCGGTTTGGGCTTTGGTATAGTTTGCTGCCTGTTTATCTTCCTGTCTAATACCATGATCATAATCGCTGTGGTACGCAACCGACGGTTCCATTTCCCTTTCTTCTACCTGCTTGCCAATCTCGCGGCTGCTGACATTTTTGCCAGCCTGGCCTATGTCTTCCTGATGTTTAATACGGGTCCAGTTTCGAGAACACTGTCAGTGCACCGTTACCTGCTGCGCGAGGCGCTACTGAACGTGAGCTTCTGTGCATCACTGTACAGCCTACTGGTAATTGCGATCGAACGCTACCTTTCTGTCATCAAGATGAGGCTCCACAGCAGCCTGTCAAAACGACGCGTCACTCTCCTGGTCCTGGTCATCTGGGGAACTGCTATCTTCATGGCCACCATCCCCAACATGGGGTGGAATTGCATCTGTAACATCAGCACTTGTTCGTCACTGGCCCCCATTTACAGCAGGAGTTTCCTGACATTCTGGGCTTTATTCAACCTCTTCACACTTGGCTTTGTTGTAATAATATATCTGCGGATTTATATCTACGTCAGAAAGAAAACCTTAAACTTGATGTCTCACACCACTGGCTCCATCAAACGCAACAAGATGCCTATGAAGCTAATAAAGACCATCGTGACGGTTCTGGGTAGGTGATTGCTTTTTTCAGTTATTGGTGTTATAGCACCTTATAATACAGTCAGAAGTCAATGTAGCCCATTGGGTCTATGCTTGGTCTTTGGGCAGATGAAATGCTGGGAATAGAAACTTTAATGAGCCCATTCAAAGTCTTTTTTCTCTTTCAACAAGATGATGGTCAATCATCTACCTGCACTCTTCCTTTTCGCTCCATCCCGGTATCCCACAATTCCTTTAGTACCCAACCATTGATCAAAGGTGGCACAGTGGTTAGCATTGCTGCCTCACAGTGCCAGGGACCCAGGTTCAATTCCACTCTTGGGTGACTGTCTGTGTGGAGTTTGCACATTCTCTCCATGTCTGTGTGGGTTTCCTCTGGGTGCTCCGGTTTCCTCCCATAGTCCAAAGATATGTGCGTTAGGGTGGATTGACCATGCTAAATTGCCCACAGTGTCCAGGGATGTGCAGGTTGAGTGGATTAGTCATGGGAGATACAGGGATAGGGTAGGGGGAGATGGGTCTGGGTGGGATACTCTTAGGAGGATTGGTGTGACCTGATGGGCTGAATAGCCTGCTTCCACAATGTAGCGATTCTATGATTCTAACCTCTGCCTTGAATGTATTTAACAATGGAGAATGTAAGAGTTCTTTGGGCTAGACAATATACCAAAGATTCACAACACTTTCAATAAAGAGGTTTCATCTAATTTTTAGCTCAATGTGATGACCTATCTTCTTAGCTTTAATTTCCATGGTTTACATTCCCTAACCAGGGAAAACATTTTCTCATAATCTATGATGTCAGTCCCCTCAAAGGATTTTGTGTCTTTCAATTGGATCATCTCACAGTCTTATAATATGGAGGAAGTACAGAACTAGCTTTCCAGGCTGGGAGATGATGGCCCTGTCACTGGGTTAGCAGCCAGTAAGTCTAGTGTAATGTACTGGGGATATGGGTTCATATCCCAGGCCTTTGGATGGTGAAATTTGAGCTGAATAAAAACAAAAATGGCACCATGAAAAGGGTCTAGGCCCGAAACGTCAGCTTTCCTGCTCCTCTGATGCTGCTTGGCCTGCTGTGTTCATCCAGCTCTACACCTTGTTATCTCAGATTATCCAGCATCTGCAGTTCCTACTAACCATGAAAAGGTTACTGGGGCAAAACCCATCTGGTTCACTAATGTCCTTAAGGGAAGGAAATCTGCCAACCTTACATGGTCTGACCTATATGTGACTCCAGACCCAGCAATGTGGTTGACTCTTAACAAATAGTGTTTGGCAATAAATTCTGGCTCGGCCAAAAATGTCCACGTTCTGTCCATGAATGGAGAAAAGAACCCCACTATTTTCATTCCACAAACAGCATAAGAAGCCTATGTTGAACTACACATACGTGTTTGAAATATTTAAGACCCGAGAGGGTCTTGACAGGGTAAATGTAGAGAGGATGTTTCCTCTGATTGGTGGTGAGGGGGGTCAAGAGCTCATGTGTTGGGGTCACAGTAACAGCTGCCGTGAGGTTTGGACTAAATTACAACAGCTGTGCCTCCCAACCCCCAAGACACCTTCTTTCTCAGTGAGGGCCTGTCACAATTGTCACGCCTTGAAAGGGGACCACAGTGGGAAATGTTTGGGGAATACTACTCCAGGGGAAGTGTATTCTAGAAGTCTGGGTGACTGCTTTGCAGAACATCTATGTTCTGTCCACAGAAATGACCCTGAGCTTCCAGTTGCCTGCCACCTCAACACACCACCCTGTTCCCTGGGCAACGTCTCTGTCTCAGGCTTGCTGCAGGACTCCAGTGAAGCTCCGCACAAGCTGGAAGAACACCTCATTTTCCACTTGGGAATTCTACAGCCCTCTGGACTCAATATCGAGTTCAATAACTTTAGGGCCTGAGCACCTTTTCCAACCCTTTCACTGTTGTCCTTACCCCAATTCCCACACACTGGGCCTTGTTATCACATAGGCTGCTACCACAAACAACCCATTAGCAGCTATTCATTCTCCCAGGCTGACCTTTACCCATTCCTTTGTCTGCCCAACTGTTTTTCTCTCTCTCTGGACTCCATCTCCACCTACCGTTTACTCCTTCCCACCCCCCTCCACCACCATCTTTAGCATATATACCAACTCTTTCCAAGCTACAATCAGTTCTGATGAAGGGACACTGGACTCAAAACACTGCTTTCTCTGCACAGATGCTGCTGAGTTTTTCCAACAATTCCTCATTTTGTTTTCTGCTATTTCTTTAGTAAGGAGTCCTGAACTGCTCACAGCGCTCCCGGTGTGCTCTCACCCCAGCCCTTGCGCCCCTGGGAAGTAGCTGTTCACTTTTATTCCTATCTCCCCATATGGCAGCTGTGTGAATTTGAATCTTAAAATTGCCATGAAAGCCAGCTGGATCATGAACGAGGAACAGAACCTGCTGTCCCATCCGAGTATGGGTTGAGACTGCACACCAGTACCAGTGGGTTCCTGTCAGACCTGGATCAGTGTGAACAATCATTGCTGGCCTTACCAACAACATTCACAGACACATTTCAACCAAAGGAGAAGTTGTGTGTGCCATGCTTTTATAAACACTGTAATGACGTGACCATTGGGTTTGTCAGGTAAAGAAGATTATTGTGTAGATTTAGAGTGATTAACAATTCTGCAGCTCTTTTTTGAACATGTTGGAACTTGTATTTCCTCTGGGTGTGACTATACATGTCAGGAGCAACAACAGTTCAATTACATCCTATTTCACTGGGAACAGGGAGAGGTTGGAAGACAAATCAGACAAACCTGAGTGGGTTGACACACTGGAATCATCAAGGACACTGGGCCTGGGCTGTGGAGGGAGGAGAGCAGCAGGTATTTTAGAAAGGGTTTAAAGTGGAAATGAAGGGCAAGATGAAAATCAACTGAATTATCCAAAATAATTTTGGATAATTCTCTCTTTCTCTGGACTCCATTTCCACCTACCGTTTACTCCTTCCCCCCCATCCCCGACCTTCATCTTTAGCTGTAGAGTAGCTCATCCTTCTGGGCAATTTTTTTAAAATGCATTCACAGGATGTGGGCATTATTGGCTAGACCAGTATTTATTATATGTCCCTAATTTCCCAGAGAGCAGTTAAGAGTCAACTACATTGCTGTGGGTCTGGAGTCACATGTAGGCTAGACCAGGTAAGGATGTTTCCTTCCCTAAAGGACATCAGTGAACCAGATGGGTTTTTCCAACAATTGAAAGTAGTCATCGTTAGACTCTTAATCCCAGGTTTTTATTGAATCTAAATTCCACCATCTGCTGCGGTGGGATTTAAACCCAGGTCCCCAAAACACTACCTGGGTGTCTGGATTAACAGTCCACAATAATATCACTCGGCCATTGCCTCTCCTCTTAATGAATAACCATAGTGAGATTTGAACATGTTTGTCAATTTATTAAACTGGCTTCTAGTTCATCGGTGCAATAAACATAACCAACAGGTTATAATGCCTGAAGAGACAAACTACAAGATTCCATGTTACCTTTCATGGGGATGAGGGAGTAAGTTGGACAAAAATAGGAATTGCTGGAAAATTTCAGCAGGTTGGGCAGCATCTGTGCAGGAAAATCAGAGTTAATGTTTCAGGTCAAGTGACCCTTGCTCAGAACTGATGCTGCCAGCTTTTCCAGCAATTTCTACTTTTGTCTCTGATTTACAATATCCGCAGTTCTTTTGGTTTTTATTTGAATAAGTTGGACAGCTTCTTCCAGAGACAACGTGGCCTTATCGAGACCACATCTGGAATATGGTGAGCAAATCTGGACTCCGTACTGAAGACACATCTTGAGGGATCATTGCATTAAGAATCAAAGAACCATGCAGTACAGAAAAGGCCCTTCAACCCATCAAGTCTATACCACTAAAAATGCACTACTGCCTACGTTAGTCCCACTTGCCAGCAGTAGGCCCATAGCCTTGACTGGTACGACACTTCAAGTGACCTGAGTTTGCAGCAACTGGTTGTATTTAGCTTCAATGGAAATCTGGAATTAAGAGTCTAATGATGACCACATTTTTAAGGTTGTGAGGTTTCCTGCCTCAACTCCCCTCTCAGGCAGTGCATTCCACATTCCCACCACCCTCTGGGTGGAAAAACCTTTCCTCAAATCCCTTCTAAACCTTCTGACATTCACTTCAAGGCTATACTCCCTTGTTATAATAAGGAGTATAATCAATATTTACTGGACTTGTTATGAATATTATTTAAGTGGATAAAGACTGAAGAAAGCAACAGCACAGAGTCCATGTCCATAAACCACAAAACTCAAAGTTCAGCAGGTAATAGGGAAGGCAAATGGAATGTTGTCTTTATTTCAATAGAATGGAGTGTAAAGGTAAAATGGTTTTGCTATAACTTTATAAGACCACAGCTGGAATACAGTCAACAATTTTGGGACCTTTATCTAAGGAAAGATAGACTGGCATAGTAGGCAGTCCAGAGAACGTTCACTAGGTTGGCCTTGGTTATGGCAGGACTGTCTTATGAGGAGAGGCTGAGAGGGTTTGCCCTGTACTTATTGGAATGTTGAAGAGTTGAGATTTAATTGAATCAAACTAGATTCTAAGGGAACTTGACAGGGAAGATGTGGAGCGGTTGTTTCCCCTTGTGGGAGAGTCTAGGACCAGAAGGAATAATCTCAGATTAAGGGTTTGCTCATTTAAAACAGAGATGGGGAGGAATTTCTTCTCTCAGAGGGTAGTGAATCTGTGAAATTCTTTACCACAGAGGGCTGTTGAGGCTGGGTCATTGAGTATACCCCAGACTGAAATAAATAGATTTTTAATCAGTAAAGGAATCAAGAGTTCTGGGGAAAAGGCAGGTAAATGGAGTTGAGGATTATCAGATCAGCTATGATATCATTGAATGGCAGAGCAGACTTGATTGGTGGAATGACCTATTTCTGCTCCTAGATCTTATGGTCTTTAAATTATTGGAATTAAGGGATTGTCCTAGGAGGACAGATTAAGCAAACTGGGCC